GCTCGGGCATGGCGTTCTGAATCCGCGCTGTCTGAGCTCGACGAGCGCGCCGGCTCGCTTCCCCCGTCTGCGCGTCCTGAAGCGCTTGATCAGCGCAGCTGCTCCCCCGACTACTATGTCCAGCAAAACGTCCGAAAAAACGAAATCCGGTAGAAGATTGTGTGGTGTGTTCTGCCGAATGTTCAGCAGCTCATCCCTGGTAAAACTGATCGTGTTTGAGAAACAAAAAACAGGAAAAACTAACAAAAACAGTACAAACACTGGAGAGCGAAACACTGAGGCTGCCGTCTGAGGCGCCATCGCATTATAAAAAAAATTCCATGCCCACTGTTGGTTTGCAACAATTGCATGTTTAAAGCAATAACAGAGCATAATATTTGGGGGTTCTTTTGGACCTCTGAACCTTCTTGAAAATATTTACATCATTACTAGCTAGTATTTACAGCGGCTGACTCCTCCAGCAGTTGAAGGAAGGCGTGTGTTAATTTAAGCATTAAAGATGAGTCCTCTGAGAGTGCATGTTGTGTAACCGCAATTTCAAATATGCAGAGCAAGAATAAATGAAGGGGAGATGGGTCGGGCACACATTGCAGCGAACATGGAGGGCATGTCAATGATGGTGGTGGATGGCAACCATCCAGAGGATGGAGAATTTTGAAATCCCCCATTACACACTCTCCTCCACCCCCGAAGTGCGATCTGCTAACTCAAACGATATGCACATGGCCAAACCCACATTTTTCACTACACACGCACAAGGTGTGTGTGTGTGTGTGTGTTTGTTGGAGGGTGGGGGCCTGTAAGGGAATGGGTGTGTTGTGGAAAAGAGCCCAGGGAATATTAGCTCAGAGTTAAAAGTTCAGGCTATTCAGAACCAAACCTGCACCAAGTACAAGACACATAGTCCGGTCCGTCCATTCTGATGCTATAACAGCTATTGGACAACGCGTTGGTCTATATTTGGTGTTTTTTTTTTTTTTTTGAAGGGTCACAGGGTTTGCTGTAACATCCTGTATCTTCCAAAAAAGCAGTATGTCATCGCCCTGTGCTTTGATCCAGATGATCTTTATGAGGCTCTGACAGGAGCTCAAGCCCAAAGAAATATAGAGCACACTCTCATCTACTCCACAAACAGAGAGAGAGACAGAGGAAATCTGCCTGGAAACTTCCAATGTAGAGAGAGAGGACTGTTTCCTGTCAAACGAGGGGTCTGGTTGCTTCTAACTAGGTCGTTTCCACCTGCCATTCAGGATTTGCCACCACAGCAGAGGCTGTTGAACTTCAAATGCCATGGTGAATAAAACCCTGAACACTGTTTCTTAAAGGGGTCATATGATGCTTTTTTAAAGATCATCATTTTGTGTATTTGGTGTAACAGAATATGTTGACGGACATTGAATTGGAATGACTAAGTTTATGTAAGACGTCGTGGTTAAATATTTGTAAAATGACAAAAACATACATCATCTTTGTAAGGAAATACAGTAGTGAAGTCACTGCTTACTTTCCCCCCCAAGAGATACTTTTTCCTAGTCTCTCTAAAGCCAAAATCTGTAGGCTGGATGTTTGCCTTTTAGTTGATAACCCATTTTTTAAACTGAAAATGACAGCCGGATCTGTGTAACACCCCACTCCCAATTTGAGGGTGTTTTTAGTATGTACCCAAAGTAGGGTGAATGACAAAACATGTCTTTCTCTATAGATTAACTGTTTCTAGCAATGCCAGGGTCATGGGTTTGATTTTCAGTGACACGTGGACTGTGATATTTTTTTAAGAGAGAAATGAATACTTCTATTCCGCAAGGATGCATTCAATTGATTGAAAGTGACAGTGTAAAGCCATGTTTTATAATGTTACAAAAGATTTCTGTTTCAGATAAATGCTGTTGAATAGAAAAATTTAAAGGGATAGTTCACCCAAAAATGAAAATTAGCCCATGATTTACTCACCCTCAGGGCATCCTAGGCCGTGAACGCGCCTGCTTGAGCAACCGGAAGCTGGAGATTACAGTTTATACATTTTTAAAAATCGATATTTTTCTTACACTAACACATCGTTTCGCTTCAGAAGGCCTTTATTAACACCCCAGAGCCGTGTGGAGTAGTTTTATGATGGATGGATGCACTTTTTTCGGCATCAAAAACAGGGGCACCATTCACTGCCATTATACAGCTTGGAAGAGCCAGGACAATTTTAAATATAAATGCGATTGTGTTCGTCTGAAAGAGGAATGTCAGATACGCCTAGGATGCCCTGAGGGTGAGTAAATCATGGGCTAATTTTCATTTTTGGGTGAACTATCCCTTTAAGCATCCTAACTTTTTTCAACATTAATAATAATAAGAAATGTTTCTTGAGCACCAAATCAGCATATTAGAAAGATTTCTGTGATCATGTGACACTGGAGACTGGAGAAATGGCAGCTGAAAATGTTTAAAATTGAAATAATATTTCACAATATTACTGTTTTTACTGTATTTTGATCAAATAAATGCAGTCTTGGTGAGCATAAGAGACTTTTTTCAAAAACTTTGTTGTACATAAAATAGCCTTATCTGAGGCAGTTATCATGGGTTTTCTTGTTCTCCTTAGTCTCTGTCAACAGAAACATGTTTCTGTTAACAAAGACTACTATTTTGAGTCCTGAACACTCCAAACTGTATGGTTACATATTGCTAAGCATCTCCCATTTTACTTGTCATATTAAACTAAACCATATGTGAAAGCTCAGGGCATCAAAATTTTATTTTATGAAGTCAATTTTTTGCAAACTTGTTTTTATGTGGTCTATAAAAGCGGGGGCTGCACACTTTAAGACAAGGTATTTGAAGTATGCCTGGTTTGAGGTTTACAGGAAAACACGTTTCTGTGGCATGAAAGCTCTTGAATTCCTGCGTAGCAGCTGTTATTTTCAAAAATGAAACAGCAGAGGCCATTAACTTCTATAAATACTCCATTTAAATGTCATTTTGTTGTTTGCTTTGCTTTGCAGATGAGACACGGTCAGCGCCACAGTTAAATGGACCTGCGGTGACCCCAGGGCCCGTGGCCATTTCTGCTCCCCCTACCCCAGAATACCCCGGTCCTTCTGCCTGTCCTCTTCTGCCCACCCCCACTACCCCTCAACCACCTCCGGCCACCTCCTCATCTCCTGGCTGTGGCTCTTCTAACCCAGAGCAGACTGGCACCGGGGCCCCTGGGGCACCATCAGTCACTCCCAGCAACCCTGAGACCGAAGAGGACAAAGCCAAGAAGCTGCTTTACTGCTCACTGTGCAAAGTGGCCGTCAATTCGCTCTCCCAGTTGGAGGCCCACAATAGAGGTGAACATTCATTTAGCGACAGCTCGTCTAAACTCAATAACTTACTGTGCTGACTGATTACACAAAACTTCCGTCACTGGAATAAAGAGTCTCCAATGAGTGCTTAGAGGTGGATAGATTATACATAATAACAAATGCTCCCTGTGTATTTTCTTGTTTGAGGGACTCACTAGTCTGTACCTGTGACTTTGTACTGCTATTATTTTAAAACTCTTAAAAGCCATTTTAAGACTCCACAACACAACATCATATGTAGCAATAATATGCTGATGCAATCACTTTTCATTACAGAAAAACAGAAAAAGCAAATGCAAACATTTGCCAATGGCAGGTGCATTTAGGAAATGAACTAACCATAAATATTTTTTGTCAGCTATGATGACACTGTTGTCAATTATATAAAAAAAAAAAAATCATAACATTTATCCTAACACACAAACATATATATATATTAGCTGATTTTAGAAATATTAAATTCTCAATATAGAAGTATTAGATTTTAGTATTAGATCTTTTTTCATACAATACACATCCTAGATACCTTTCTGATGCACAAGTTGTGATTTATTTTATTTTTATTTTATTTTATTTTTTTATTTTTAGTCAAACTATTATTCAGTTGGAATAAAAACCATGTTGCTCAGGGCCGCTGCTGGCCAAATGGGTGCCCTAAGCAAAATTGTATTGTGCCCCCTACCCCAAATATTATGGAAGTAAAAAAAAAAAAAACCCTACTATAGGTAGATATAGATTAATAAAATATAATTAAACTGTATTATTTACAAAGTACAATTGTAGTTCTATAGCAAAAACAAATACAAACTAAAATTACACATATTAAATAAAACATTTTAAAAGATTAAATTTTATCAAAATAAACAATAATAAATTAAATCAAAACCACTTCATTCTCATTTGTAACAAATTTCAGTACTATGCACTTCTAAATAAACAGTTATTAGTTACAAAACCATAAGTAAATTAAGAGCAGTCAGTGTAATAAAACATAGTTTAAAAAAACAGTTACCTCATGGCTATGATTTTATTAATACAGTTTTCTGATTGATTTTATAGTCTCAAGCATTCAGAAATCACACAAAAGAAAATTAAGCAGTTTTACTACGATAAAACCATGTTAATGTTTGTAAGGGTTGTGATGTCCATATGTTTTTGTTGAAGAAATTATAGAGGCTGTAGCAATTCTATCGCAAAAAGGTGGCCAAAAATGAAAGATTAAGTGGATATTTGAATTAAATGTTTGATCAATAATAAACAAGGATTTGATCGTCCTGTAAGTGTAACAACAGCAACTGCCAGGCCTTTGGCACCCTTTGCAGGCATTTGTAAATAGTTTATTTATTTTGTATTACATTATGTATTTTAACAGTTATTTAACAAAACCATATGATTATTATTAATTAACCAATCATTATTGCCTCATTGTTTTTATATAACGCATTTTAAGTCATGTTAAAGGCTGTTGTTCGCTTAGGTCTGCTTTATTACCGCAAAAAAATATTAGGCTATCTGAGTACTTCTTTGTTAATTATTATTTTAAGTAACAAAACCATGGTTAATTTGTGGTTACCATGGCTACAAGAACCATTTTTTTTTTCGTAGTAAAACCACGGTTAATTTTCATAAGGGAACATGGAAACTCAGAGAGAATATTAAGGCAGATACGTTGGTGGTGGTGAAATTATTACTGACATCAAAACACGTTATTAACGTCAACAGACAAAAAAAAGTTTCAGAGGATTATGAATGTACATGAAAATGATACACGGGCTTCCACCTGGGATGGTGGCCCCCCCGGGAGTTGGTGGAGTTACTGATGTTGCTGTTCCTAATAAAGTTGCAGACAAACTAGGAAATAATATACTTCACAGGATTTTTATAATCCTTATTTTTAACTTTAATTTTGCACATGCAAATGTTAAATTTTAAATGCTGTCTTTCTCAGTACTTGCTCAAATTACTTCATAAAACATAATTATTTTAAGCATAGTCTGCAAGATTTATCTTGTTCTGTGAGCAGCAGAAATATGCTTTGCGTGGCTCAAGGCAGTTCACAGAGGAACACTAGCAATTACATCCATCGCTGAAAACCCCTTTAAACTTCTCAAACAGGCATCTTTAGAAGCTTTCACTCTCATGATTTATACACAGCTTTACAGTGGCGCTTGCCCTTTCGGTTTGCACCAAAGGTGTGCACAAAAATGAACAATTTATCAGTTTTTGTACTGCAGTGCAGCTAGTAGTATTTCGGGGAGTGTTTGATTTCTCGTGGTATATCGAATGCCTGAGCATATCTCGTTCTGCTCTATTATTTAGTTTGTGTCAACACAAACAATCCTGTTTGAAGAGATGAAGGTGGATGTTGAGGAGATTCTTCTGCAAAGGCACACACAACTCTATTTATTATAGATCTCCTCTTTTATTTATCAGGGAAAACTGCAGTCATAGTTTCAGTGTTTATTCGGTCTGATTAGGAATTTCTCGTATTGAGCTTGTTGATTAAATGGTCTGTTTTTCCCCAGGCCAAAAGAAATGAATGCCTTTACATGAAGTATTTGACAACTGTTTATGTGGTCTGAAAATTAAAAGGCGCACATTCACACTTTGATACATGGAAGACACATTGAAGTCGTTCCTCTTGGAACACAACCATGTTTTAAAGTAAACATAAGTTATGAGTGATATCAGGGCATCGTTGCCAATGGATGGGGCAAATTTTAATCACAGTCTGGGTTTAAAGCTATCTGGAATCAGTACAGTCCATTCCCTAAATTAATTATCTAAACCACAGTCAAAAAAATCTAATCATATGTTGTGCAGACAACCACAGATATAAGTTGGGAGGGGAAGGGAGAGATTAAGCTTACTTTATTTCTGCAGTTGTATGTCCAGACACAGCTGTCAATACCTGTTTATCTGTATGTCTCAGATGGCATTTACAAGTGACTGTTACACAGTGAAACTAGAAACGCTCATTGTCTGGAACAAATTTTAAATCTAAATATCGCAAGAGTGCATTTTTGAAGAGTACAAAGGTCATTCATGCTTGTTTATTAAACCCAAACTTAAGGTGAACCTTTGGTCTAATGAGAAAATGAAGGCTGCTTTTGGTTTGGCAAGAGAACGTGTCGACATTCCCGATGTTAAGAACAAAACAAATACATTAGTTCTATGAACCCAAGCATGTGGACGTCACGTGTTTTTTGTCCGTATCTAGGAATTAGTGCTCTGCATTTATCCTATCCAAAGTGCACACACACAGTAGTGAACACACACACACCGTGAACACACACCCGGAGCAGTGGGCAGCCATTTTTTGCTGCGGCGCCCGGGGAGCAGTTGGGGGTTCGGTGCCTTGCTCAAGGGCACCTCAGTTGTGGTATTGAAGGTGGGAGAGAGCGCTGTACATTCACTCCCCCCACCTACAATCCCTGCCGGTACGAGACTCGAACCCGCAACCTTTTGGGTTACGAGTCCGACTCTCTAACCATTAGGCCACGACTTCCCACAACATGGAACAACATGGAACATGACGGCGAACCATGTGTTGCACAGCTCCAAAAACAGGAAACGGATAAATGATGAGCTTTGTTGTAATGAGGACAGCCAAATTTAAATGTAAGTTTTGCAACAAAGTTTTAAAATTGAAAGCCAGGCAGTATATACTACTTGATTTATGAATAGTACTGTACAGTAATGTAACCTGAATGAAATTCAAAAAGGATATGATTCACAAGTGCAAAGCATTCCAACAAAAGAATGGCTTGACTGCCTATTAAACATGTGGACACTGGACAGAAAAAAGAATCATCCCTGGCATGAGCAGCTGCATTCGAGGGTAATTCAAAGTGGAAGATTCAAGAGCCCTCTAGTGGTCATGACTGGATATTACAATACTGCCTGTAGTTTATATTAAAGTAAATGTTATCTATTTATTTTTATCATAATACAATATTCTTATATTTTTGTATTATTGTTGTTACTATTATTATTATTATTACTTATTTATTATGTTAAATATTTATAATAATACAAATGGGGTTATTTGATTTTTTTAAATAAATTAATACTTTTACTCAGCAAGGGCACATTAAATCATCAAAAAATACATTTATAATAATAAAATAAAAAAGATTTCTGTTTAAAAAAAATGCTGTTTTTTAAACTTTCTGTTTATCAAAGAAACCTGAGAAATGTATAACAATTTACACAAAATATATATAATGTTTTTAACATTGATGATAAATGTTTCTCGAGCACTAAATCTGCATATTAGAATGATTTTTGAAAGATTTTGTGACACTGACAATGTATTCAGAAAGAAAATAATTATTTTAAATTGCAATAATATTTCAAAATGTTACTGTATTTTTGATTTAAAAATGTAGCTTTGGTAAGTACAAGAGACTTTAAAAAAAAAAGTTAAAAAAAAAGTAAAAATCTTACTGACCTTAAACTTTTGAACCGTAGTTTATATGCATGTATGTGCATACATACAATATATTTTATTTAAAATAACACAACATTTTTAAAACTACACTTGTATTTCTCTGCACTCCTCAGGCACTAAACACAAAACCATTCTGGAAGCCCGCAGCGGACTGGACCCCATTAAGGCATACCCTCGTTTGGGTCCGATGCCCAGCGGGGAGCAGGGAGGCGGGGCCACAGACCCCAATACTCAGGAACGCACCTTCCACTGTGAGATCTGCAACGTGCGGGTCAACTCAGAACTGCAGCTCAAACAGGTGAGCGAGGGTCATGGTGTTCATCATTTTTTTCTTTTAAATGCTCGTCATGTTGTTTTTACGTATATATTGTTACTGAGCGACAAATACTAAATCAAATTTGTTTCAAAATTGATATGTTTGCAGCACATATCAAGTCGAAGGCACCGGGACGGTGTGGCAGGAAAGCCAAACCCCCTCCTGAGCCGACACAAGAAGCTCAGGGGAGCTGACCTTGCGGTAAGTGGTAAACAATTACAGTATTAGTTACAATTGAAATGTTGTTGCATACACTGAAAGTTATCTTTGATAATCGGCTGTCAGATTACAGTATGATATTGTTGGGGCATAAAGTTTTTCTCTTCATACAGGATCTCACCAAAGCGTTAGGCGCCGGCCTCTTGCCGAGTCCTCTGGCCGTTGCTGCAGCAATGGCAGCAGCCGTCTCCTCCAATCCGCTGGCTCTCCGCGCAGCAGCCCCCACCCACCATCCACATCATCACCTCCTGCAAGGTCCGCCCCTCAGCCACGCCATCTTGAGACCAGCTCCGGGGCCCATACGCACCTCACATGGGTCTATTCTGTTCTCACCGTACTGACTCCGCCCTCACCCCAAACCCCAAACTGGCTTTGGCATCTTTGCAAGAGGAAATCGCCTCAATCTCCATTGCAGTTCCACCACATCAAGACTCAGAGCAGGGAGAAGGTCTAAGGATGCCCGACACTTTCCGAATGCTGGCTCGAATTGAGAAGCTTAGACGGCGGCAGTGAAAAGCCCGACTTCATACAATCAAATTTCTCTAGGGAAACGGAGGGATTCAGAAGAGATACTCAAGATTTCTTTTGTGTCACTTTTACATCCGTTAGCGCTAGGAGCGGTTGACTGAAAAACCCCAGACCCCTGTCTTAGATCTTAGAAAATCAGTAGACGTCTATTTATTCTATTGTGTAGCGTAGTTTAGTTCAGATCATCCAAGCTGGTTGACTTTAGAAAATATTCAGAAGTGAAATATGTACGTAGAGGATTATGTAACTGCTGATAGATCCTGAAATGACATGGTACTTTGATTCTCAGAGAAAGGCAACAAACCTAAGCACACTCCTCTGTTCATTCTGTCTCTGTATGTTCGGTGGACATTATGCAACCCCAAGCAATACGGCCCCCCTTCTGTCCGACTTCCGCGTTCAGTCTCACGAGACAGCCTGCATCAAGCAAGGACAGACACCACAGGTCAGCCACTCCAGCGGACGCCCAAGAGTCTACAAAAATGAACAGAGAGAAGACGCAGAGGAGGTCACAGAGGACACGACTGTGCAATCTCCCCTTTTTTTGGTATGAACTTGCTGTCTTGAATCTAAAGCCATGCAATGCATAGAGTTTTTTGTTCTTTTATTATGATCAATGAATTGTTTTGATGTTGTTGGTTTAAAACATTTTTTGGTTCGTTTTCATAGCACACTGTTACGTTGAACAAATATTGTGGAAATTCTGACAAAAAAAAATCATTGAACAAAAGAAAAAACTGGAATATTTTTCTATGGAAGACTGAAAACCTGCACTCGGGTGGGATCTGTGTTGTAGAAATCATATCTGGAGGATGTAAAGTACACATAATCATAAACATCAAACTAGGGCCTGTCGTGTTTATGGAGATACGTGACGGTCCACTGATAAGCAAAGTGCGACAATGTCTTACCATTGTTTGGATATTGCAATGCAATAAGCAATTGTCATTTGTTGTAAAAGAGAATTTATAAATGGATCTGTACGGCTGCTAATAGGCCTCCATGTTCTTCCACAGAGATTAATTAGCCTTTTCAGTACAAAAGCTAGGCGTTTTAAGCAAGAAAGGGGCACCCACGGGGAAGGGCCCTTCATATTAAAGGGTCTTTTCTCATCTCTGAGTGGGGGACAGGGTATATCTGAACGCAAACAATGTGTAGTCAGCCATAGCGTATGTAGCTTAGTTCACTTTTTTGTTTGTTCGTGGCATTGTTTGCATTGTGGGAAATGTCATGATAATGCCATTACTTCGAGCTAACTGTGGTTAGCATCCACCATTGTGCTTTGATGGAACTTTACGTCTGTTTCTCATTAGTTACCGAGGCACTAGTATGGGTGCTGTAGTTTCATGTTGGTGTGTATTGTGCAGTGTTGTGTGTGTACGGATAGATTCCGGTTCTGGGAAACTTGCGATAGACAGAATCTGGCTTAAATGATAGTTCACCAAAAAAATGAAACTTCTGTTGTCATTTACTCACCCTCATGTCATTTCAAACCTTTTTCAACAGGACAAAGAAAGAGAGATTTATGAAAAATCACAGTTTCTAGTGACTAGGGAACAAAACAAATAAAATGACAATATATGGGTTTGGAACTACACAAGGGTGAGTATAAAATGAACAAGTTTTATTTTTGGGGTGACCCATTCCTTTAAACTGCACATTTGCAATCAGCTGTTTCTATCCCAAACTTAATTATTAAAACAATCAGTGGACAGTGTTCTCAGCTGATTTCAGATGAGCATTTTGGGGTAACACTATGCGCACTGACACATGCTATAGTTTGAAACTAGGTGTCCAGTGCCCTATTGAAACCTTGTGAGGTGATAAAGCCATCACAGCTAATACACTCCATAGGCTTGAGACAGAATCGCTTAGTCCCATCCGTCAACACTGTAAAGACCACATTCATCCTGTAGTCAGAATAATGTCATCACTGTACAGAATTGTCTTTGGTAGTTTTATTCAACCTTTCAGGGCAGGTGTAATGTTAGTTGGTGAAGTCTATTTTAGCCTTAGCCTTATTCCACCCCAGGCCTCTCCAGGAGCGGATGCAGACGGAGAAGCTTCGGTCAAACCTCGTCTTGACAATAAATTTATTTTTGAATTAATTGTCAGATGGGAAAACAGTATGTGTGATGGAACATAGCAATATTCATACTGGCTACTCTTGTTTATTGCAATAAGGAAATCAACCAATAGATGCATATGTGAGTAAAATATTATAGATGTAATTTAAATCAAACACAGAAAATTATGGAAATACTTGGTATCAAAGAAACTTGGAGTTACCACAGGGGGGTGTAACATTAAAAAAATCAATGTCTTTAAATCAATAAAGAATATTAAAACTCATGTCTCATGCTTATTTTTTCATAGCTATATTTTATGAAATGTTCTAATTAGTTTAAAAAGGTGTCCCATTCAAATGATTAAAAAAATTAAAACATACACTAAAATAATAATAATAAAAAAAACTCTTTTTTTTTACAGAAAGAAACTGCCAGCTGTGGTTGCCAGAATACATATGTAAAAATACAGTAAAAATGTAAACATATTTACAGAATGACCTGTAATTTTTTAACCTAAAAAAAACCCCAACAACATTTAAAACCGTAAATCCAACAGCGCTTTTCTGCTTCATTCAGTTTTGTATCCTTTAACCAACATCATAACACAGGTGGTAAAAAGAAATCCAAAACACCATCATGGTAAAACACATGACAAAAATAATGCACTAAACATGAATTAAACAACAATAATTTTTCATTTTATGTTTCTGTAATGGTTAATCCACACCAGTTTGTGTAAGCTCTTTAGTCACAGTAGTGTTTCTAATGCTAAAGTATAACTCGGATTTAATGGAGTCAAAGATATATTGTACAAAAGTTTCATCAAAAGCGAGTCATTGGGAACAACTAGAAATGATCTGGAAGTCAACAACAACAGAGACTGTGGAAAAGTACCTAAAAACAATGCAAGTTGTTATCGAGGCCATACAAAATACAAATAAAATAAGTTTTATGGTTGTGTGTGTGTGTGTGTGTGTGTGTGTGTGAATAAAGGGATTACACTGAACTGATTAAAAAAAACTTTTAAGAAACAATTATTTAAACATCAATTGTGAAGTGTCACACAGGGAATTCTGGGAATGTAAGTTTATGCTTTTTCACTCAACTATAATTTTAGTTTTTCCCTATATATAGTAAGGAAACGTACCATTTTTACCACAGGATTTTAAAAGTAAGTCTCGTTTCTGTTCGTTGTTTCAACCGTACATTACACAGAAAGTGAAGAATAGTTTAAGCAGCTTTATATCCCAGCTCCCAAATGTGGAAAATCAATTTCGGTCACTAAACGGCGCTGTAGGACTGATATGCTCACAGTGCATCAGGTGCACTCAAGCAGGCGGACTAGTCCGCTGTGGATTTTATACACCGTCTGCTGCAAAATATTAAAACAATTATTGAGTTAATAGCTAATAAACATGCTTTATATGAACTAACACCTTCTGTGATGTATTCATGTTTTAGTTGTAAACTTAGTGCACTTTAAAAATGTTAATGTTGATCTCTTTAATATGCCTATATCCATCATATCACACAAAATATGAGGACATGATGTGTCTGTCTGAACTTATGTTTACCCGTCCTCATCTGTTGCTTTGTGAACACATTTCAGTCCATAGTCTGTCGATATTGCCTGTCAGCACATTACCACTTTGATCTCTGACCTTGTGGAATAATGTTTTTATTAGACACATCATTCAAAATGATTCAATCAAGTAGTTCACACAGCTTTGTGGAATTTCCCGATCCATATTACATTTGTATTTTCAAGGAAGCACATTAATACTGGGTGTAATAATGTTTATATGATGATAAACATTTAGGCACTTTCAGGATTTTATTTCTATTATTTTTATGGTGATTATTATTTGTGTTAAATGTAATGTTGTGTTAAGAGCTACAACATGTGTTGAAACAGACCTACAATGAGTGTCATCAGCTACACACCAATGATTATGGTTGTTATTAATGCCTATTAATAAAAGAAATTCCGATACCAAACTGTAAGAACTTTTAAAGGGGTCATATGATGCAATTTCAAGTTTTCCTTTCTCTTTGGAGTGTTACAAGCTGATTGTGCATAGATAAGATCCCTGAAGTTGCAAAGACTAAAGTCTCAAAACCAAAGAGATATTCTTTATCAAAGTTAAGACTCTGCCACGCCCCCCTAAAACGGCTCGTTCTAACACGCCCCCACATATCTACCTCACTATGTGGAAATATTAGCATAATGCCGCCCAAATGTGCTTGCAAAGAAAGAAGGCGTGGTTTCAGTAACCGCAGTTAGTGTTGAAGCAGCATGTCAGAGAGACGCTGTGTGTTTCTAGGCGAAAGCAAAAGCACTTTATTTGGCCTTCCGAAAGTAGATGCATTTAGGAATCTTTAAGATTACTTACAACAGAACAGCAATGCATTTTATGGATGACCGTTTCGTGAACCTAGGAGAGGAGGTAATTCTGACTTTGCTATGACAAGTGTGTGTGTGTGTGTGTCAGAAAGAGAGAGAGAGAGACCGGGTCACATCACTGTGGAGTCAGCTGTCTTAACCGTGGCTTGTG